CTTCTATGTATAGTAGGTAGGAAAGACTTTATATTAATTTGTTAAATATCAAAAAACTGAAATTTACAAAACGTTACTCATTTCCTCCCATATTCTTCTTTTTATAATATATGTATGCTCTTTCCTTATCTTGTCCACATTGGACACAAAGCTAAACTCTTGATTTAGTGCCTCGTCCACATCCTTTACATGGTTGTGGGATTATTACCGCCCTTTCGTATTTTGAATGCGTGAGATGCACAATATTGATTCTGTGCTGATTTTTCGCAGAAATGGGTCTTTCCAATCAACAACCAATTACAAGACATTTCTTTTCTCTAACCATTATTCATACTCATTTTCATATTTAAAATTTATCATCGCCTCGTAAGAGAGAGACAACGAATAAGTTGATCCCAGCCAAAGGCATTCAGGGTAAGGGATCGTGTCTACTGTATGATGGTCGTAAACCCCTATTAATAATTTTTTTTTTGGCAAAAGAGATCAGCGTGAACAATTATTTACGATCAGCCAAAATGGCTTACATATTTTTCCGATTTTGAATACTAGCATTATAGAGCATTAAAATATTATCATGTCATCTGAACTTGATTTATTGAGACAACGCATCATTGAGCTTGAGGCTGAGAATGCTGAGGTTAAGGCCAAATATATCAAGGTTATGGATGAGAATGCAGAGGTCAAGGCTGAGAATGCAAAGTTAAGATGCGCTTTGGAAGAACATGAAGCTAGGTTCACGAGACTAGAACAGAGAAATAAAGAAAAGACCAACCTTATTGCCAAAATGGATAATTATATCAAGGAAATCAAACAATCATCGGCCAATGCCAGCTCTGTCGAGAATCCCAACAATGTTGTTCACCTGGGTAAACTAGAAAAGATGGCAAAGTCATCAAATACATCTGATAGTACATTCAATTCTAATGCATGCAAACCTATTCGTACAGAAACTAAGTCATTAGAGGATAAAAAGACGGATAATTTCTTGGATGAAGAGTATAAGAGAAAGGTTAGCAATGAGATCAGGCAGAGGAAGCGGGAAAAAAAGCTTCAGGGCGAATTGATTGTTCAGAAATCATCTCCAGCAATTAACACCAGTTATATAACAGATCTCGCTACGACTAGCACTGGACTTGTAACTCCCCTAGAACAGGTAGTCAAAGAATCGATTCCAAAGGAATCATCTGTAGAGTCAGCGATACTCTGTGAGTCTTTTGGAAATAAGCAAGGCACTCCACCCCAAAAAATTCCCTATAATCAGAAAGTAGAACAAGATTTAATATGCGAATTACTTGAATTTATTAAATACCATAATTCTACGTCCTTACCGAATTCTATATCTAGCAAACATATTCCAGATGTCCCAGTCAATGCTGACCTAACTCCAGGTTCTGTACTTTATTTAGCTCATTTATTCGACAAGGCTAAAAAGACTGGTCAGAAAGAAAAATTACGATGATATTACTATAGTAAGGAATATGAAAAAAAAGCTGTAACCCTTAGCTCTGAAAATAATATTAGCGATCAAATGGCAAGAACGCAGATTTATGATGAAATGGAGCTGTATCTCCCTGGTAAAAAGAGAGAGAATTTGCGTAAGATGACATAAAAGGCTAAAAACATCTATACGTTGTTCAAAGGAATAGGAATAGATAAAATTGAAGTAATTACATCTAGCGCTGATGCGATTTCTAGGCTAACTGATGCACAAATCCAGAATATAATAAATCTTTATACTGATGAACTAATCAAATCTCAAAAATTGATCAGCGTGAACAATTGTTCACGCGCACGTGACCTACAGCCTGAATCGAATAAGTCTGAATCAAAAAAATCACCAGATGTTGGGATAAGCACTCCACCTACAACAAAAACCAATCAGACTAATGTACAAGCCCAATCTAAACCAACTTATGATCGATCCTATTTTCGTAGCAAAACATTGAATCAATATCCTAATCTACATAGAGAATTTAGTAGTGAAAATTTCGATTATTATGGGATTACCAATGATACATCATGCCCATTATGCAAACTAGGTCATAATGATGAAGAAAGTATAGAAGGTAGATATAAAGCTGGATTCTATTTTATTAAATGGAACAGTGTAAAATTGAGATAGTTGCATAATCTCATTGCTTTACAATAATCTGGTAACTCTTTGGGGTGATAATCTATCTGTGAATTTTAATCTTTTTTTCAAACAAATAGGTCTATGTGAGAAAAAAAGGATTTAAATTGTTTGCAGACATATAAAAAGGAAAATGACCAAGTCCAATAAAATATTAACTCCCAAATATCTGGATTGGCATGCCAAATTAACTGGTTTGTCAAGTATTTTGACAGATAAGATTCAGTCCAGCTTATACAAAAAATATAAAAAAGAAACTGGGTATGAGCCATGGCAATTATCAGAAGCGCATGCATCAGAAGCCAGCCTTCTCATAAATTCAAAGCCAGAAAACAAAGCATCCTATTTATCTTTTGCTAAACAATGTAAAGAAAAAGGGCCTATCACTTTCAAAGCAAGACCTGATCCAGAATTAATTATCAAATCCGTGTTAGAGCATTTCACATACCTGAAATTCCGAAATAACTTTAGAGGGATTGATAATTATAATTTTGCATTTGCTCAACCGTGGGGTTCACCATGCCCTATTTGCAATGGAAAACATGAGAATTATGGATTACATGGTGAATGGTATAGAAATGGAACAGAATATTGTCTTACCTGCAACAGTTCAAGTAATAAATTCAAGTTCGCGATTGTAGCATAGGCGTCATGTGAGATTGAGCAGAAGATATTCGGATGGGCTGTACAACATAAGATTTTCGCATACAATTATATTTTTTCATCTATTTTTGACCTATTTTTTCTCGTACAATCAATAAAGCAGGCACAATTAATTTACCAAATTCAGATACATAATGTAGTGGGTTATAAAAGTGAAGCGAGCGTATATGTAACATTTAGTATAGACGTATGACGTATAACAGTATCACGGGAATCGAAATTCTTACGTATATTATTAAAAAATAGCCCCCATTACATATGGATAGCATTAAATTCTTTTATTGTTAAATTAAGGAGAGGCGGTTGATCAGATTTTTGTGATGCGATCATATTTACGTAATTTCCCCCAAAAAATCAAACGAAATTCTAATAAAATTTCAAACCTACCATTATTTGCATCATCGATATTTACAATCAAATAAACTCGTATATATTTCGCAAAGTAATAAATGCAAGTTGCAACGAAACCATCGATTCAGAACTTGATAAAAAAATGCGCAGTACATTTTAGTATATACATCATAATAAAGTTTTTTTTTGTTATAATTTTGACCGACAGATTTTTCGGGATGAGATCAAGTTAACGTAATTTTCCTTTCCAAAATCGATTAGACCCACTACAAATCATATAAAAAGGTTAGTATCTGCTTTGTACAATAAAATAAAAATATATTATGTCCATTTTTTTTTTTACTTTTTTTACTTGTTTTTCTGGAAAAGCCAAACGTCCACCGCCAATTCGGTCGCACATGGAACGTCTGGAGGAAGTGAACTCAGTTTGCCACCGCCACTTGGTCTGTACATGACAAACTGGCCTTTTTTATAAATCTATTCACCGCCACTTGGTCTGTACATGAATAGATCTGAGCAAAGTTCACGTTCCTAGAGGTTCGCCGCCACTTGACCGCACGAAGTCTCTATCATTTTCCCTTCAGTTTGTCACCGCCACTTGGTCTGTACATGACAAACTGGCCTTTTTTATAAATCTATTCACCGCCACTTGGTCTGTACATGAAT